GGTAGGGTGCAGGGGCCACCACCACGGCTTCCAGTGCGCCTCTTACCTGCGGTTTCTCTGTGGTGTGATGACAGTTCCCACAAGAGTCCATTTTCCCCTCTGGGAAGAGGTCACTGATTAGTTAGGTTACAACCTTGACTTCAGACACCACTGTAACCCTTCCTTGTCTCCTCAGGTTCTGTATCTGCCAGTGTCCCCCTTGCCCTAAGCAGCTCTCAGTCTAATATAATACAGTCACTTTGTGTGTGACTATAAAGAGGCTAATTTTTAATGAAATTTCTACATCTATAACAATGTTGTCCTTCAAAGATGCCATCTCAAATAGCCAGGCAGTTAATCCATTGACTACTCAAAATGAATTTGTAATTCCTCTCTGGGGAGTTGTCTTCAGAGGCGGTTCGAACCACACTAGAAAATCTCAGCTGGGTGCAGTGGCTTACGCCTGTCATCCCAACACTTTGGGAGGCTGAAGTGGGAGGATTGCTTGAGTTCAGGAGTTTGAGACCAGCCTGGGCAACATAGTGAGACCCCACCTCTACAAAAAATAAAAATACACCTGTAATCCCAGCACTTTGGGAGGCTGAGGCTGGCGGATGACTTGAGGTCAGGAGTTCGAGACCAGCCTGGCCAACATGGTGAAACCCCATCTCTGCTAAAATTATCAAAAATAGCCAGGTGTGGTGGCACTCACCTGTAATCCCAGCTACTCGGGAGGCTGAGACAGGAGAATCACTTGAACCCAGGAGGCGGAGGTTGCAGTGAGCTGGGATCACCCCACTGCACACCAGCCTGGGGAAAAGAGCAAGACTCAGTCTCAAAAGATAAAAACAAATAAAAAACAAAATAAATTAACTGGGCTGAGCTAGGTGGTGTGCACCTATGGTCCTAGCTACTTAGGAGGCTGAGGTGGGAGGATCACCTGAGCCTGGGATTTTGAGGCTACACTGAGCTGTGATCACACCACTACACTCAAGCCTGGGCAACAGAGTGAGACTCCATCTCAAAAAAAAAAAAAAAAGATTCAAAAGAAAATAGTGCAAACTCTGAAAGCTGTTTGCAGATGGAGTTTCAAAGCTAGCTGTCCAAGGTGACCTGTAGGACAGCACTTCCTCAGCTGGGCAAGCCCTGCCATGCTGGTTCAACACTCGCCACATCTGTCTTATGCTTGTCACACACCTGGTCACTACCTGCTCTTTGACACCTGTTTTCCCCTTTGGCCTCAATTGTGAGGGTCCCAGCAGGCACGTCACAGGCGTGTGGGAAGTGTGTTTAAGATTCCTAGTTGAGGCTGGGCACGGTGGCTCACGCCTATAATCCCAGCACTTTGGGAGACCGAGGCGGGTGGATCACCCAAGGTCAGGAGTTCGAGACCCGCCTGGCCAACATGGTGAAACCCCGTCTCTACTAAAAATACAAAAATTAGCCGAAAATCACTTGAACCTGGGAGGCGGAGGTTGCAGTGGGACAAGATCGTGCCACCGCACTCTAGCCTGGGCAACAGAGTGAGACTCCGACTCAAAAAAGAAAAAAAGATTCCCAGTTGAGAGCTGGGTGCAGTGAGTGGAGCTTGTAAATCCCAGCTACTCAGGAGGCAAGGTGGGAGGATTCCTTGAGACCAGATGTTCGAGACTAGCCTGGGCAACATAGTGAGACCCTGTCTCTACAAAAAAATTTAAAGATTAGCCAGGCACAGTGGTGTGCCCCTGTAGTCCCAGTTCCTCAGGAGGTTGAGATGGGAGGATCGCTTGAGCCCGGGAGTTCAAGCCACAGTGAGCTATGATCACATGACTGCACCCCAGCCTCGATAACAGAGTGACACCCTGTCTCTAAAAAGAAACTTTGGAAAAAGATTCTCAATTGAATTACCATGGGGCTGGTTGCTTCGACTCCGAGAAACATGTCTGGGTAGGTTAATTTATTAAACGCTGTAAGGCATGGTAGGCATGGTAAAGGAAAGACAACCCCTGCCTTCATAGAGTTGACAGTCCTCCAGGGATGTCGGATGAACAGACGTGAAACAATTAGAGAAGGACAATTTGCTGAACTTACAGGGGCATGATAGAAATTCTGAGAGGGAAGAAACCCACATGAACTGGGGTAGTGAGAACATGCTTCCTGGAAGGAGTGGATGTGGAAGGACACTGTAGAGGATTTGACTGGAGGCAGAAAAGAGCGTGTTTTGGGGGCAATAGGGAGAAGGCCTAGCGAGTTGGAGTGCAAGTGAGTTGCTCAGATATGCCAGGAATACTTCATATGTGATCTTTTAAGGGAGCGTTGAGGAACGTGGGTCATGCGATTGGACATGTGAGATGGGCTAGGTAAGCAATAAGAGTTTTCATAGGTTTTTAAACAAGGAAGTAAGTAATATGGTAAAAGTAGTATTTTAATAAGATTGGCTGCAGTGTGCAAGTTGATCGTATGGATAAGAGGCTACTGCAGGCATCTAATTGTGGGCCAGAGAGGGCCTGGACCAGGATGGTGGCTGCGGGCCAAAAAGGAAGATGCCTTTGAGAGGTACCTCCAAGGACGAATCATGAAGCCTTCTAGCACCCTGAAAGTGGGTGATAGGGAGAGGAGAGGAGCCAGTGCTGACACGAGGTTCCTGCCTTCCTGCCTAACTTCCAAGGGTGGTAGTGTTGCTGGGAAGAAATGAGGTGTGGGGAAAGGGAGCTAGTTTAGGGGAATGAAGATGAGCCCAGTACAGACATTCTGACTTGGAAATAAACGGGTCACATGTGTGAAGATGCCCTAGGAGCTTCTGGAAATGTGAGCTTAGGAGCCCTGTGTGAGGGGACCTTGGGAGTGGTCCTCTCAGACACTCCAGGTAATGCCTTGGAAGGTGTGGACTCAAGGCCAAGGGTGTGTTTGGGCAGACAGGCCTCTGAAAGGAGGTCGATGTTAGCTCTGTCCTGCTGGGGGCCCACATCAGGCTTTTGTCTTTCTGGTAGGGGGAAGGTTTACTGTCCAGAACAGCACTGGGAGAAGTCAACCAGCACATGAGCTATGTGTCTTAGGAGTATGCCGGTAATCCTCTATTATTTTACTTGTGAATCTGTGGGTCTAATTCCATGATGCCTTTGTCCTTGACCCTCCAAGGACCAGCAGGTCAAGGTAAAGGTCTTCAAGGTCACTAACTCCCTCCCCACACTTAGGAAAGAGGCCTAAGCCAGGTGCTGTGGGTCACGCTGCAGTCCTTGTGCTTTGGGAGACTGAGGCAGGAGGACTGCTTGAGCTTAGGAGTTTGAGACCAGCCTGGGCAACATAGGAAGATCCTGTCTCTACAGAAAATGTTTTTAAATTCCCTGAGTGTGGTGGTGTGCGCCTGTATTCCCAGCTACTCAGGAGGCTGAGTGGGAGGATGGCTGGAGCTTAAGGCTGCAATAAGTCATGATTGCACCACTGCACTCCAGTCTGGGCAACAGAGTGAAACCCTATCTTTGAAAAAAAAAAGAAAAAGAAGAGGCCTGGTCCTGCCGCAGCAGCCCCACATATCCATGCCCACATTGCTTCCTTTTCATTCTCTGGCTTGAACCATCCTGTAAAAGAGTTGCTGAGGCTGCCATTCAGAGCTGAGAAAACTGCTGTGCCTTTAGGGAAAGAGGCTCATGGAGCAGAAACAAACAGCTCTTCCCTGCTCAGGTTGGCTTAGGGTCCACCAGGCAGCCCAGTGAGACCTCAGCGAGACTGGGGCAATGGGAGGGGGCAAGGCAGAGGAGCAGCAGTCTGTGTACAGTAAAAGGAGTTTGCCATCAAAAGGCAACAAGTCTCATACCCTGCCCCGGACGGTGACCCTTCCCTGTGGAATTCTCCCCTCTGACCTCCAGATCATTAATCCTGAGGCTGCCAAATGACAGTCATCCATCACGCCTCCTGACGAGCATCCCAGCTGGCTGTGAAAGAACTGGCCCCGCCCTTACCACGTCCCCTGGTGCTCATTAGTAGCCCTTCCTGCTCGGTGCCAGGTTTCCTAATCAAGTCCCTGGCTCCTCTCACTTCCCCTCGGGGCCGTTGGGCGGAAGCTGCTCTGACCCTCCCCCTTTCAGAGGCCAGGGAGTGGGAGAATGATTGGTGTGGGGAGAGAATTGAGTGGCTTTTCATTCCCCTGGAGACTGGTGTGTCCAGCAGCTCCTTTGACATAGCGGGGCACACGAGAGAGAAAGAAACCATTTCTCCATCAAGCAGGAGAGGAGAAAGCAGGCATGTGCAAACAAGCACACTCTTTTTTTTTTTTCAAGATGGAGTCTTGCTCTGTCGCCCAGGCTGGAGTGCAGTGGCACAATCTCAGCTCACTGCAAGCTCCGCCTCCCGGGTTCACGCCATTCTCTTGTCTCAGCCTCCTGAGTAGCTGGGACTACAGGCGCCTGCCACCAAGCCAGGCTAATTTTTTTTTGTATTTTTAGTAGAGATGGGGTTTCACCATCTTAGCCAGGATGGTCTCAATCTCCTGACCTCGTGATCTGTTCGCCTCGGCCTCCCAAAGTGCTGGGATTACAGGCGTGAGCCACGGCGCCCAGCCAAGGAGCACACTCTTACAAGCAGCACTGAGCGCTACCAGGAGGGTAACTAGGCAGGGCTCCCCTTCTAGGAAGTCAGAGAAAGGTTTCCTGGAGGAAGCTGCCACTGAATGGAGTCTGAAAGCTGCAGAGATAAGTCGCCAGATCACTAGGAATAGTCTGGAATCATACTGCTAACAAAACAAAAACACGCACACACACAAACTAAAAAACAAGCACCTTTGAAATCATCTAGTCTGGCCCTCTTATTTACAGACGGCAAAACAGAACCAGAGAGTCTAAGTGCTTTGCCAAAGGCCCACATAGCCTGTGCATTGGACCTGTCCTGACAGCTAGTCTGAGTCTTCAGGCTTGGGGAGTTTGAGTTAAACTATACTTCCAAACAGATTCATGAGCATTGTTTCCAGCTCAGTTAAAGTGGGCATATGCGGAATCCTTCTCAGCCTGATGATGATCCCGCTGTCTCTTTCTCTCGGACAACCACAGGGACCCCCATCAACCGAATCCCCATCATGGCCAAGCAGATCCTAGACCTGTACATGCTGTATAAGCTGGTGACCGAGAAGGGGGGCCTGGTGGAGATCATCAACAAGAAGATCTGGAGGGAGATCACCAAAGGCCTGAACCTGCCCACATCCATCACCAGTGCCGCCTTCACCCTCAGGACCCAGTGAGTGGCCAGGGCCTGGGGGAAGGAAGCTGAGGCTAAAGAAAGGGGATGTTGTAACCTAGAGGAGAGGAAGGAAGGAAATTCCTTTGTATAGTTAGCAAGATGAGTGGATTCCCGAAACAGTGGGAAGCTTTCTGAGATTAATCCCTCACTAAACCAAGTAGTGATGAGAACCGCCATTTACCAAGTGTCTACTCTGTGCTGGTACTTTACTATTTCATTTAAACCTCACAGTCAACCCTGTAAAGTAGGTATGCCCCCATTTTCCACATTACAAAAATGAAGTATCCAGAGTTAAATAATTTGGCTAAGGCCATACCAGCCAGTAAGTGGGAGAGCTGAGATTCAGACCTGAGCTTCTGTCTCTAAGACCTGTGCCCCTTCCAGGACATTGTCTTCCAAACAGCATCTCCACCCCAGTGGCTCCTCTTACCTGACATTCAGCTTGCCCAGTGGCAGAGGACCCAGAGAAAGGCAGGGAGGAAGGCCCCCTTGGATTGGTGATCTGGTTTTGTCAGCATTTGAGTTAATTACATGGGTGATGGAAGCGGTGAAACCAATAGTAGCACTGAAGAATGAGGGCCAGAGAGGAGTCTGTTCTTCTGGAGCACTCTGGAAGTTGTTCTGTGAAGAGTATGCAATGTACAGCTGACATCAGTTAGGTAGCATGGTGTAGCTACAACCAGAATGGCGAGGTTCCTGGGTAGAGAACTGCTTCTTGGGACCTAAGACACAAAGAATGACAGTGTCTAGGTCCCATGCACAATAGGAAGAATTGCTCCTATCTGACTAGCCCAGCTCTGAATAAGATCAAGAAGCCAGAAAGCCGTTGTAAAACATGGGCCTAATTTTTCCCAGGGCACTAAAAAAGCACCAAAACAAATGTGAAACACCAACTAAGATGTTATTTATTTCCCCTAATGAATGGTCCTTCAAAGTAGAGCCTATTTAGGATTGAGTGGCAGTTAGAGGAGGCTGGGGCAGAGTGTCCAGGCGTCCCAGACTTTTCTGCCAAGTACACCAAGGTTGCGATCCTTTGCCCTAGAGTCCTGGCCAGCAGAGACTGCTTCCAGAGATCCACCAACCTCAACTGGGTGATCTCTGGTGCTGTTTTGGATTATTCTTCCTGCTTGCTTCCTTTCCTCCAGGTACATGAAGTATCTGTATGCCTATGAATGTGAGAAGAAAGCCTTGAGTTCCCCAGCCGAGCTCCAGGCAGCCATTGATGGCAACCGCAGGGAGGGCCGGCGGCCCAGCTACAGCTCCTCCCTCTTTGGCTACTCACCTGCTGCGGCTACTGCTGCTGCTGCTGCTGCCGGGGCCCCTGCCCTCCTCTCCCCACCCAAGATCCGCTTTCCCATCCTTGGGCTTGGCTCCAGCAGTGGCAGCAATACCAGTAGCCCTCGGATATCCCCAGCAACCACTCTCAGGAAAGGTCAGTAGGGCTCCTGGGGGAGAAGGAAGAAAGGGAGGAAGGGATGCCAGTTTCCCTGTGTTCAAGACTGGGGTTTTTGGGCAAGAGGGTCAATTGTGGATTGGTCCAGCTCCAGTTCTTTCGCAGGTGATGGAGCCCCAGTGACAACAGTGCCTGTGCCAAATCGCCTGGCTGTGCCCGTGACCTTGGCAAACCAGCAGGCTGGTACTCGGACCGCCGCGCTGGAGCAGCTGAGGGAGCGGCTGGAGTCAGGGGAGCCTGCTGAGAAGAAGGCGTCGAGGCTGTCCGAGGAGGAGCAGCGCCTGGTGCAGCAGGCCTTCCAGCGCAACTTTTTCACCATGGCACGACAGCTCCCCATGAAGATTAGGATCAACGGCAGGGGTGAGCCAGGCTCAGGGCAGAGCCTTCCCTTACTGGGAAACCCTACGCCCATTCACGCCTCCTGAGACTGGGGGCAGGGGTGGTGAGGCACATACTCCTGACCTGGAAGAGGCCCCTCCAGGTTCTGCCTTCTAGGCCCCCAGAAGAGAGGCACTGAGATCTCAGTTCACCAAGCTGAGATTGTTTAGTAGAGGGGACCACATGTTGCCTCAGGCGGTGCTCTGTTCTCTAATAAGAGGGAAAAGCAGTTATTCACAGAGGAGGAGCCAAAGGCCTTCAGAGAGCTGCAGCGTTTCCCCACCAGCCTTTACCCCAGCACCTCACTGGAGGTAGGCAAGAGCAGGGCACCCTCTGCAGGTAGGGGAGGAAGACACCCCATGTTCCTGAGGCTCAGCGAGGGGCCAGGTTGCCCCGGGCTAGACAGCGGGACTCAGGAATATAAAGAGAAGGAGGAAACACAAGTTTGGCAGCATAATTGACATCCTTTCCCTTCCTCTTCACATCGTTCTAGTGCCCCACATTCTCTTCCCCAAGCCACACGCCCCTTTTCCCATTCACACACATTCTTTCCCATTCTGGTCCTGATGCTATCTCAAAGCAAACATGAATGAGATGTGTGGGAAGGAGCCAGGTGTGAAGGGAGCTGTACATATTCCCAGGCCGCCCCTCCCTACCCCATTGCCCCTGGGGAGCAGAAGGAAACTGAGAGGTAACAGCTCACCCAGGGCCAGGTGCCCTGCTCCTACACAAAGCAAAGGGCTGTTAGAAAAGACAGCTCACTGGGAAGAATTCTGAGTCTGGGGTGAGCCAGGCAGAGGCCGTGTGTGCCAGCACTTGCAGCCTTCTACAAACGCCAGCTGCCCAGGTGGTCATGGAAGGGAGGGGCTGAGGACATAGACTCATCTCTTTGAGGGACTCAGTCAAAGGAAAGAAGGGGCAAGGTGGGTCCTCAAAGTTGGGGCTGTGTCTCGTTGATCTCTGATTTCCTGGGCCTGGTGTGTAGTGTAGCTGGGGGTTTGCCCATCACGTGGAAAGTACCAGTGCAGAGTGGTGGGGCTGGGGTCAGCCTCCTTGCCTGCTGTGATTCCTTTGCTCTGGGAGCAGAAGGAATTGGGGAGATGAACTGTGTCAGTGGAAAAAGCCAGCAACAGGAGGTTAGCGAGACTGGGATCTCCTGCCATACCCTATACTCAGGAGAAGGTTACATAGGTGCCTTCTGACAGCATGAGGCTTTGACCAGGGGTGGCCAGGCAGCATCAGAGAGGACAGCAGGAGTGCTGTGGAAGGCTTGACCAGGCCCACTGTCTCCCTGTCCCCAGCAGAAGACAGAGCAGAGGCCTCGGCTGCAGCACTGAACCTGACCACGAGTAGCATTGGGAGCATTAACATGTCCGTGGACATCGATGGTACCACCTACGCAGGTGAGGCCCTGGAGCTCTGGGGGAGGCCCACGTGGCTGCAGCCAGCCCCAGCGCAGCTCTGTGGCTGACCCTGCCTCTTGCCCTCTGTCTGAACACCTCCCACGGTGGCTTCCTTTTTCCTGGTCTCACAGTTGCAAAGGTTAGGTGGTCCTCTGGACACGTAGAGACTGTGGATTGTTAACAGGATGGTAGGTCCCTCCCACTTTGGCAGAAATCTTTCACCTAACCCTTTTAGACCAGTGGTTGGCTCGTTAATGGAAGTAGTCAGTCAGTGTCCCACAATCCCCCGGTCTTCTCATGCACAGCCTTTCTCTGACTGGTTCAGCTGTTCTCTTCCTTTTGCAGACTGAGACACAGGCAAAGGAACCCCGGTATAGCAGAATCAGCTTACATTGTTAAGGTCCCCGCCCCCCAGTCTTTTATAGTTATCTCTTCCTAAACCTAATTTGACAACAGTGTTTTGTTGGTTGGTAGATTTCGCACCTTTACAGAGTCTTTCCAAGGGTTTAACTTAGTATTCATGACTGGGCATGGTGGCTCATGCCTGTAATCTTTGCACTTTGGGAGGCTAAGGCAAGAGGATCACTTGAGCCTAGGAGTTTAAGATCAACCTGAGCAACATAGCAAAATCCCAAATCTACAAAATACAAAAAAAAATTAGCGGGGCATAGTGGTGCACATCTGTGGTCCCAGCTACTTGGGAGGCTGAGGCAGGAGGATCACTTGAGCCCAGGAGGTCGAGGCTGCAGTGAGCCATGATTGTACCACTGCATTCCAGCCTGAGTGACAAAGCAAGACCTTGTCTCAAAAAAAAAAAAGAAAGAAAGAAACAACTTAGTATTCATAAAAACAGCAGTCCCTTTCCCATTCCCATTTCATTGGTTTACGGATGAGCTTGGGAACAAGCCCACCTGACACTTGTTAAGCACAGCATTGTCAGGCGTGGTGTCTCACACCTGTAATCCCAGCACTTTGGGAGGCCGAGGCGGGCGGATCACGAAGTCAGGAGATCGAGACCATCCTGGCTAACACATAGTGAAACGCCGTCTCTACTAAAAATACAAAAAATTAGCCAGGCGTGGTGGCGGGCGCCTGTAGTCTCAGCTACCCAGGACCCTGTGGCAGGAGAATGGCATGAACCGGGGAGGTGGAGGTTGCAGTGAGCCAAGACGCATGACTACACTCCAGCCTGGGCGACAGAGCGAGACTCCATCTCAGAAAAAAAAAAAAAAAAAAAAGGGCATGGTGGCCCACGCCTGTAATCCCAGCACTTTGGGAGGCTGAGACCGGCGGATCACGAGGTCAGGAGATCGAGACCATCCTGGCTAACACGGTGAAACCCCGTCTCTACTAAAAATACAAATAATTAGCCGGGTGTGGTGGCAGGTGCCTGTAGTCCCAGCTACTCCAGAGGCTGAGGCAGGAGAATGGCGTGAACCCCGGAGGTGGAGCTTGCAGTGAGCCGAGATCGCACCACTGCACTCTGGCCTGGGTGACAGAGCGAACCTCCATCTCAAAAAAAAAAAAAAAAAAAAATTTTTTTTTTTTCTGTAGAGACAAGGGTCTTCCTGTATTGCCCAGTGTGGTCTCAAACTCCTGGCCTTGAGCTATTCTCCCGCCTCAGCGTTCTAAAGTGCTGGGATTATAGTTGTGAGCCACCGCACCTGGACTTGCTGTTCCTCTTTGTGTACCCTGGGTACACCTGTCTCAGAGCATTTATGACATTTTAGCAAAATTACTCTGACAACCTATCTGTCCCCCTCCCCAGCCCATCAGCACTTCAAGGCAGGACAGCATTTGGATCTTCTCCCATCACCCCCTAATGCAGTGTCTACAGCGGAGTCAGGCACAGGGCTAGGCCAGCAGTGAATACTTACTGAAAGGAGCTGGCCCGCCCCTTCGCTCTTCCTCTGCCCACACTTGCTTCTCTTCCTCCCACCAAGGTGTGCTGTTTGCCCAGAAGCCTGTGGTCCACCTCATCGCGGGGTCTGCTCCCCAGAGCCTCGGCAGCAGCGCCAGCAGCAGCAGCAGCTCTCACTGCTCACCAAGTCCTACCTCATCCCGGGGCACCCCCAGCGCAGAGCCCTCCACCAGCTGGTCCCTCTGATGGGCAGGACCCAGCTTCCCGCTTGCCACTCTCCTGTCAAGAGTGAAGGAAGCTGATGCACAGAATTTACCTCATCTCACGGAGCCCACGTCGACGAGCACCATTTGGCCAGACATTGAGAGTTTGGATGTGCCCGTCTGTCCAGGTTCCATTCAGGTCCTGCTGTACTCTGGGGGCAGGGAGAGGCTAGAGGGGCAGGACAGACAGCGTTGTCCAATCAGGGATTGTCCTGGAGAACTGGGTGGGGGTCTGTGGGTGTCCAGCTTCCTCCAGGGTTCCCCAGCCACCTCCCAGCTCGGGGCACAGTGTATTGACAATCTGTCAGCCGACACAGGGCTGGAGGCCCTCCATTTCCCTTCCCCTTTAATTTATTTCCCTGCCCCTGCCTTCTGCCATGACCCCAGGGCCACTAGTCTCTTCCCCTGTTTTTAAGTCCCATGTGGGGCTGCTAGGAGCCAAGAGCATGCCTTCATGCTTCTCTGCTGAGCATGGGATGGGGCCCTTCCAGACCACCTTGCCTACTGTTAGGTTCCTGGGGTATGGGTCCCTCAAACGCAAGTCTTGAATCAGTCCTCAGGGTCCCAGATCCCCCTTCTAATGATCTGAAGGAAGAGGCTGTGAGGGCAGTTGAGGGCCAGGGCCCACAGGGCATCTGCTGATGAGAAGGCAGAACCTTGGGGCTGCCCAGCCCTGGCACCTGCTTCACACGGACCCTTCTCTGACCCCCCAAACCTCATGCTCCCCACTTGCCCTTATCGGCCTGCTCTCCCAAGAACAGCCCACTCGTCCTTTCCCCAGCCCTCTTCTGTTTCTTATGGGGCCATCTTGGCCTCACCATCCCCACATGTGCCGCTGTCAGGTTCATTGAAATACCTCAGATTTGTAATTGTTGATGTTTGAGTCTTCAGGAAGTATTTGCATCTCTGAAATCTTTTTTATATGTGTTTTGCTGACTTTTGTTTTTTTATTTTAAAATTTTTATTGTTGTTGTAGCACCAAAGAAATGAAAACAGATCACCCCCAAAGTCAAGCAAGTGATTGGGTACCCCGGCCCCTCTGGCCCTTCCCTCAAGCCCAGTGAGGAGGCGGGTGGAGGCAGGCAGGGGAGACGACTCAGGGATCGCGGGGACGGGGAGGTGGAGTGGAGAGGCCCGCTCTCACGCTGGTCGGGCCCTGAAACCACACCAGTTCTGAAGACCGTTTTCTGCCACACCCCCACCCCCAGCTGACCAGGGAGGCAGCAGGACATCTCCCCATCACTCAGCATTCCCAGCTCAGGGCACAGGCAGGCTGGGGTCCTTGCTGACTTTGCCAGAGGTTGAGCCGCCCCAGGGTATGAGGAGATGAAGAACTCCACAGCTCCTCCTGAACCCTGGGCGGGAGCAGGCAGCTCCTGTGCTATAAAGAAAAGGCAGTTCTTATGTGCGGCTCACCTCAGTCGAGGAAGCCCTGGAATGTTCAGCAGAACACCACCACTGGGACATGGGGCTGTGGCAGTGGGAGACACCACACATGGCGTGTGTGTGTGTGGCGGCGCAGCTTGCATTCAGTCCTGTGTAGGAGAGGAAAGGGAATCAAAAGCTTGGGCACAAACAGATACCTCAGCCTGGTAAGCTGCAGCTCTGCTCAACTGCGTCTTCTCTCAGCCCTCCACACACGGTCACCCCCACTCCCACACTCACACACACACGCCCCCCATTTCCCGGGGGCTGACCTCGTCTAGCCTCAGCCTGCAGGGTGTGGGCAGAGAAGGGCATCTGGGACCTGGTGCCAGTGAGGAGCCCAGTTGGCTGGCACTGGGCCCATGTGAAGGTGTCTCAGACATTTGGCCAGTATGTCTTTCTCAGGGGTTTGGTCACAAAGGATGGACTCTTCCCACCCAGAGGATGCAGGGACAACACACTGTGTCCTTCTGGTCACTGGATCCTCTCGCTTTCCCCAGGCAGCTCGCCTGGCCACACCGTTGGAGTGGACCCTCACTGCCCTCAAGGACAACAGCAGGGTCTCACCCAGAGCGTGATGGGGGGTGCCAGCAGGTACCCCCAGGAGTGGGGCCTTGGCCCAAGCAGAGCTTTCCCTGAAGGTGCCATCAGCCAGGGCAGCTCTGTCCCCTCCCTGCTCCCCATCTTATGTGTATTCTAACCAGAAAAATGTGATAGCACATGGGTAGCCTAGGCAGTGAATAAATACCTCAGATGTCCTCCTGCAGCAAGTGTCTGTATATGTTGTGGTTATTTTCTATCTTACATGTTCTCGAATGTTTATATTTCAATAAACCTCTACCTCTTCACACAAGCAGGTCTCTCTCAGTTGCTTTGAGTGGCCCTTCCAGTGGACAGTACTGGGGAGAGGTGAGCTCCTTCAGAGTGAAAGAGGACTGAGTGAACTACTCCTGACCCCTTGATTTGTCCTGAATCTTCTCCCATTCACTCACCCCTTCTTCAAAGGGAAGGCTTACTGAGCTCACTCTCAGCTTACCTTCTGTGTTAGCAGGGTTCTCCGGCATTACCTTATCATCAGAACTGACTCCAGTGATGTCACATCAGTGTCCTGGCAGGCACAGGGCCAGCGGGTCACCTTGATTGAGCCCCTGTTGAGCTCCTGCTGGGTCAGACGATAAGGGAGGACCCACAGGGTTATCTAGACGGAGATGGATTCTTTAGACTACAGCATCACTGGGACTGAACAGCAGGCTACCACTGGTGGGAGACAGAAGCTGCAGCAGCCACAGAACTTCTGGAAGGCTTCCCACAGGTGGTAACGTTAAAGCTGGAAGAGTCAGAGTTTGCACCTGGAGACGAGCAATTCTTGCAGAGGAATACATGCATGCATGCATACATATGAATACATACGGAAATGCAGTGGCATCAAAGGACCTGGCATTGGGGAACTATGGCTGGTGCCTTGGGTCAGTGGGTGGAGGGGAGGGGAATTGGGAAAAGGTGGGGCCAGGATTAATGGATTTGGGGGCCATCCTCTGAGAATCAGGATGTATTTTCACCAGGGCATGGGCTTAGAAGCTTTTCTAGAAAGGTGATGCCAGGCGACCTGCTGGGCGTGGAACCCTGGGGCACAGCCAGTGGAGCTCAGGCCTATCCCCAGAGCCTTTCTCTACCATGATGCACACTCCTCTGGGCATACTCTGAAGATGTGCAGAGAGGCAGGCCTTGTGTGGACTGGTAATTGCCTCCGCCATCCTTGACAACGTACTGACGACACCTGTTTAGGTAACCACGTGAAGTCAGGCTAGCAGGGTTTCCTATCTGGCGTTTTTTATTTTGTGTGTGTGTGTATACACACATATATATGTGGTTTGGTTTTGTTTTTGAGACATTGTCTTGCTGTGTCATGCAGGCTGGAGTGCAGTGGCACAATTATAGCTCACTGCAGCCTCAAACTGGGCTCAGGCGGCACCCATTTCAGCCTCCCAGATAGCTGGGACTACAGGTGCATGCCACCATGCCTGGCTAATTTTTTCTTAAAAACTTTTTGAAGAGATGAGGTCTTGCCACGCTGCCCAAGCTGGTCTTGAACTCCTGGGCTGAAATGATCCTTCTGCTTCAGCATCCCAAAGTGTTGGGATTACAGGCGTGAACCACCACACCCAGCCTCTGGCATTTTGAAATGCTAGAAAAAGAGGGTGACATTGGGACAGTCTTGAGCGTCCATTGCTGATTTTTTTTAATCTTGCGGAAAAAAAATGGTACTATAGTACTTCACTGGTAACCACTCATTGGTATCACACTTCACAACTTCTGGCCACATGGAAATTAAAAGGACGCGTCTAGGAGGGAGCTGAGTGATGAAGAGCAGAACCAGGCCCAGAGGCATTTGAGATGGAAACAGCACGTGGTGGCTGGCGAGGCGGGGATCCTGGGAGACTTCTGGCAGAAGTGGCATCCAATAGAAATGATGAATCTCCGATCCTTTTCAAATTAAGAAGAAAATATTGGAGAATATCTTGACCTTAAGAATTTCTCCAGCTAGACCCTTCAATTAAATTAAAAGCTGGATTAAATGAGTGGCTAGGCGCGGTGGCTCATGCCTGTAATCCCAGCACTTTAGGAGGTCAACGCGGGAGGATCACTTGATGAGTCTGAAACCAGTCCTGGCAACATAGCGAGACCCTCCTCTCTACATAACAAAATTTAAAAATTAGCCAGGTTGCCGGGCGCGGTGGCTCACGCCTGTAATCCCAGCATTTTGGGAGGCCTAGGCGGGTGGATCACGAGGTCAGGAGATCAAGACCATCCTGGCTAACATGGTGAAACCCCGTCTCTACTAAAAATACAAAAAATTAGCCAGGCGTG